CTGGATGAATTTTATTTTTGTAATAAAAAATAATTTAAAATATACTTTTTCACTTTTATTAGATGAACGACTAAAAAGGTTTATCAAGGTAATTAAGATGAAAAAATTACATAAATTGGTACATTTTAATAAAGATATTTAAGTATATACGTAAGTAATTTTTAGATTAATATCTCAAAAAATCGCTCAATTTTAACAATTTATTTATTAAATTTTATTTTGTATTCAATAAAATCACTTAATTGACTTTGACTTTTGCATAAATAAAATCACTCAACTAAATTTTACACTAAGAAATCTAATATGGCAGAATAAAATATTTATTCTGATGCCATATAAATATAAACCCCCAAACAAATAAAATTAAAAGGAAAAAACTTTTGAAGGAGTTTTGACGGACAAAATTACTACAGATTTTAATTCATAAAAATTGTTTTATACTTAAAATGAACAATTTTTCTACCCTAAAAACGCTAATGTTGAAACTAAGGGTGTGTTTGGTAGATTGGAAAATGTTTTTCTGAAAAATAATTAGATTTTGAATTTATTTTCTCATGTTTGGTTGGTGAGTAGAAAATATTTCTCGGAAATAATTTTTAGTGTTTGATTTATGAATGAAATATGTTTTTGAACGACATCTTTTATTTTTACTAGAGTAAGAAATAATTTATGAAATTAAAAATATTTTTAAAAAATAAAATTACTATTGTTTTGAAACAGTAATGGAGAGGGGATGAGTGAAAAAATAAAATTTTGGAGTTGACAATATTTAAAAAAAAACAAATGGGAGGATTTTGTAAAAAGAGGAGCAAATTGTTACTCGTTAACTATATACAGTTTGTAGTAACATTTTGATACAATCAATCAGGCCTATGTGACTCAAGAAGATACTCTAATGGCAACTCTCACAGTAAAAGAAGCTGTATACTACTCAGCTGAACTACAACTCCCAAATTCGATGCCAAAATCAGAGAAAAAACAAATAGCAGACATGACTATGAAGGAAATGGGGTTGCAGGATGCAATGGAAACAAGAATTGGAGGATGGAGTGGGAAAGGAATTAGCGGAGGACAAAAAAGGAGAGTCAGCATATGCTTAGAGATTTTAACGCGCCCAAAACTTCTCTTTCTTGATGAACCAACTAGTGGACTTGATAGCGCGGCGTCTTATTATGTCATGAAAACAATTGCAAGCCAATGTCAGGGGAGAACAATTATTGCCTCAATTCATCAACCTAGCACTGAAGTTTTCAGTCTTTTTCATTCTTTATGTCTTTTGTCTTCTGGAAGAACTGTCTACTTTGGACCTGCTAATGCAGCAATTGAGGTGACCATGTTATTTGAATTTCTTAAAATGGCTAACTTAATCAATCAAAACATTAATATTAATGGATTGAGTTGCTGCAGTTTTTTGCATTGAGTGGTTATCCTTGCCCGACGCTCCAGAATCCATCTGATCATTTTCTCAAAACAATTAACAGTGATTTTGATCAGGTATATATGATCTTTTTGTATTAAAATATACATATTATGTGTATCAGTTGAAACTTTTGACCATGAATAATAGGACATTGAAGAAGGTCAAACTAGTAGGAAATCAACAGAAGAGGTGATTAATATCCTGATAAAGTCGTATAGTGATTCTGATAAGTACAGAGCTGTTCAAAGTCAAGTTGCTGAAATCTGCAAACAGGTGCAAAAAAAAATAACTCTGTTTCAATTGATGTTCCCCTGTTATTAATAGGTGAAGCTACATGTAGAAACAAGAATCCCCTTATTTAAAATCCCGACTTTGCTGGCTCAACGACTTTCTAAATCATGTACAGGAAGGTGAAGTATTGGAGAAAAGAAGCCGTGCCAGCTTCACAACTCAAAGCCTTGTTTTGACAAGAAGGTCATTCGTGAACATGTCCCGTGATCTTGGATACTACTGGCTGCGCTTAGCTGTTTATATTGTAATAGCTGTAGGTCTTGGAACTATCTATTATGATGTTGGCTTTTCTTACACTTCAATTCAGGTAAATCATGAGAAACACACATCGACATGTATTAAATTGATTGTTTCAAATTGCCTGATTATTTACATGGTGAAAATAGTCAAGAGGCTCCATGCTCATGTTTGTGGCAACATTCATCACTTTTATGGCCATTGGTGGATTCTCCTCTTTTGTGGAAGAACTCAAGGTACAATACATTTGGTATGTATTTTCACCTTTTCTTCATCTCATGATGTGCTAATGATGTATGCTAGGTATTTCAACGAGAGAAACTAAACGGTCATTATGGTTCTGGTTCATTTGTCATTGCCAATACACTTTCTGCTATACCGTACTTGGTATTGGTATCTTTTATCCCAGGAGCTATCGCGTATTTCCTCACTGGACTACAAGGTGGATTCGAGCATTTCATGTGCTTTGCATTAGTCCTCTTCACGTGTATGATGTTAGTTGAGAGCCTAATGATGATTGTAGCAAGCATTGTGCCTAATTTCCTCATGGGGTTAATCACTGGAGCAGGAATACAAGCAGTTATGTGCTTAAGTGGAGGATTCTTTCGATTATCAAATGAGTTGCCTAGGGTATTCTGGAAGTACCCTTTACACTATGTCGCATTTCATAAATATGCTTACCAAGGATTGTTCAAGAACGAGTTTGAAGGACTAAAAATTCATGACGAGAACATGAAACGTCTGATCAAAGGGGAAGATATTCTGAAATATAAATGGGAAATGGATATGGATTACTCAAAGTGGGTGGATCTTGCCATTTTACTGGGGATGATAATTTTATACAGGTTATTGTTCTTGCTGTTAGTCAAGGCTGGTGAAAAGGTTAAACCAGCTGTAAGAGCAATCATGTCTAACTCACCTCAACAAATCAATTCAGCAGAAACACCTTTGCATGAATTTGCTGCTTAAATTATTGTATTCATGTTATTATAGTTGCTTTTCTGGTATAATTTGCAAATTTCATCATGTAATAATAAGTCAAGTGAGTAATGTATGTACCTTTTAAGTTAGTTGGATCAGCCTTACATAGCAAACTCATCAACTAGATGTTTCAACTCAAAGAATCATATGATGTAATGAAGAGAGCACATTAATTGTTCAATGATTTCTAATAAGTCTTTCCTCTCTAGTATATATTAGAACAACCAAAGGTTAATATAGAAAATGTATATCTAGGGAGAAAACATCACATAATTGTGCAACCATTTGGATTCTCATAGCTATGTTGGTAACCATAATCACCCCTTGGAGGAAAACAGGATGTTGGTGGTTCACCTTGATGCCCCAACAGCGGGGATGGTTGTCCGCGGTGGTGCCCCATTAGCATTGGCGGTGGTCCAGGCGGATGCAATGCCATGCAATGACGTAGAGTATGATCCTCATGAAAGTCATTCAAAGGGTCATGATAATTCATTCTATAGCCCACATCAAGGCTCTCCCCTCTCTGCATTCTCGAGAATCGGTCCAAGTTATCGTTCCAGTAGTAGTTTCTGACGTGTGATGGGGGTCGTGGTGGCCAATGACATAGCCATAATGGTGGTGGTAATGAATCTTCAAGTGGTGTTGGTGGTGGACAAGGCTTGCTTCTCCGCGGACGAATCATGTCAGGATCCATTGAAGAGTGCTAAGAGTATTACTATTAATTATAACAAAACATTCGCAGTAGTTAGTATAATCACACAAGTGAGATTTGAAAATTACAGTTAATAACAAATACGAAATATTTACCTGATGATACTTGCTTGTAATGAAAAGTATGTGGACGAGGGCGAATAAATGTACAAGGTTATTCAGGAAACTAGGGTTTAATATGAAATACAATAAAATATTAATGGAGGTTTTAAACCCTTTAACAGTGTGATACTTAATCATAAATTTCTTACTTATTTCATTTTATTTTTCCTTTTGAACCTACGCCAATTTTTTATTTTTCTCCATTAATAGAGAACTAGGGATATTAAATACTACTAATACTTATTCTTTTTTTTTTTCTTTTTGGTCATGTGCAATTGTGTGTGCTAACAAAAAAATAACGCAGTTTCATTTGTGTTTACTATTTTAAATTAAAACACACAAACGAAGGATTAAAAGGCGAATAACATTTCACTAATGAGTGTTTTCATACTTTAATATGGAGTAACAAATTTTAGTGGATTTGTCTCACAAGTGCAAAAAATAAGAATTTAATATAAAAGGAACAAATATTGTAAAATAGCAAAGGACATTAAAATAGATATATACAACATTCATTTAAGAGGGACTATATAATTACCCTCTTTAAATTGAATAAAAGCTAATAGTACAAAAATAGTAGATTGAAGGAGATCAAGTTGACAATTGACGAGCGGATTTTTTTTTTATTTTCTATATCTCCTAATAAAATACAAAATAAAAATGAAAAAAAAATCTATACACAGTAAATGCTGTGTATGGTACGTATACCATATTATACACGGTAAATATAATTAAAGAAGATTCTAAACTAATAATAATGTATACTCCACCTTCTAATCAATCAATCATAATTAAAGTCATATTAAATATCGATTTTACTAATTAATGGTGATTAATGATTAACAAGACAGGGGAGGGAAAATATTCCACATACAAGTAGAGGCAGCAATTTAATATTTGTCTGGATTGGGAAATTAACGAATGGTGAAATATAAATGAAAGCAACATATATGATTTATAAAAAATGAGTAGATGTGGTAATTGATTGACACACACTTGACCAGAATAATTATTTTTCTACTAAAGACACGTAATATATAGTATAAACAGTGAGTTAATTATCTAGAAAATCGGACCCTGTATGAAACAAAATTAGCTAGCTAAAATGATTAAGATGGGGATGTATCTTTTTATTTCTCAAAAAGAATTGAGCAAAATAAACTTTTATATAAAATGATTAAGTAATTCTGTAGGTGAAATAAAATAACTCTTAAGATATTAACTTTATGAACAAAAATTTATAAAGTCTACTCAATTCTTCTACTTACTTAAAGAGAGGTTTAAATTTTGAAAAGATTGTATAACCTTAAACAAATTTAAAAATGTATATGCGCCCCTTTTTTGGTCAATCTAAATAATCAGTAGATAGTTACATTATACATGTAATTGGAGAATATTAGTAGCTAAGTTATTTTAATTGACTACATAAATTTTCACTTGAGAATTCAATTCTCTACTTTGTAATTGGTTTCCCTTTTCCTTTTCCCTTCCCCTTCCTCTTTCACTTGATGTATTATTTTGGAAGTATGGCTGAGAAGATACTGTGATCATACATGGGCTATTTCCCATACGTTGCTTTCTATGTAGTCAAAGCTCATCCTCAAAACGGGTAAAACACGGCATTCCTTTAACCTCTTATTTTTTTCCGCAACAAGCAAAAAATTGTCTAATACTAAATATCTTTGTATCATGTTATATGACAGTATTTGATTTAAGTAATGAAGTTTATAACGAAAGGACTTTAATTTATATCTAATCTACACTTACAACTTGTAATTTTTATAGGCATCTTATGCGATTTCTTATGATATATATGAGTTAAACAATTTCCTAATATAAAATGACATTATCATTATTTTTTAAAAAGACTAAAACTAAAAGTATGAGATATATCTTGGTCATTAAATTTGATCAGCTTAATATAGTTAGCAAACTCATTATCCTTTCAGAAAATTGCTGGAGGCGATGGCGAAGACCCACACATTACAAAAGTTTTTTCTAATATTTGTGTGTAAATAATAATTTTCTAATAAATAAATGTGTACACACATGAAACGCTCTAGGATGTGACATTATTTCAAAATAAGACAAAATAAATATCCTTCCTTCATATATTAATTTTTAGTAGTAAAATCTTAAATAAAATCACCACCATGATAGACCCAATTAAATTCCCTTGCTAGCTAAATTGTCGCTAATCGATACCGCTTATCTTATATATAATTTTGCCAACATTTCACAGGAAAAACATGCTACAGCAAATAAAATTTTTACCAAAGTATCTCGAAATGTAATGGCATTAACTCAATTATTACTAAATATTTTTGCAACGCTACTAAGGAAAATCTGTTGCTACTAAATGTCCAACATGTCACTCGGGAAACAATACAATAAATAAAGAATTTAGCAACAATAATATAATTTTTGCTATATAATATTTAGCGACAATAATAAATATTGATACTTATAACCTGCACTTTATCTAAATGATGCTAAAGGCTTCAACAACTCTGAATATAATGACATTAACTCAATTACAACTGAATATTTTCTCATGACGAATGGCAATGATTAGACCAAAATTCAATGAGAAGCTATATAAAATAAAATACTACCGACGTCGATGTGAAATCTAAATTAGATTGAGTTGTCATATTGAATAGTTGAATTTGTTTATATATATAAATATATAATCGTAAACCTAACGAGAAAGAAGAAAGTTGAATTGAATCATTGGTTGGGAAGAAGAGTTAATGTGAGTTGTTGTAGTAGTATTAATGGACAGGCCCATTCTCTTTAATTCGGAATCGATAGTGTTTCTCTTACAAAAGCCCATAACTATAGTAAATACATTTTGTGAAGAGAAAGTTCCATGAATGAAGCATGCATACTTGTGTTTATTGAAAAGCATTTATTTTCTCCCATGTGATTTCTAAAATCAGGTATGGGCTCATCTTTCGTTGACTTTTTCTAAAAAATAAAATATTCATACCAAAATGTGATAAAATTGGAGAATCAACCAATGGGAAAATAATTAATAACAAATTGCTAAAGTTTAAAATTTTACTCGACATTTCCATGTTTCACGTATTGTTTAGTTCCTATTGACACCGGTGATACTTATTAATTGTGTTGTAATAATTTGTGTAGAGGTGTGTTTATGTTGGTAGGTGGAGTGGGTTGAGGCCTTGAGATTTAATATTCGCTAATTAATATTGTTATTTGGTGTAATTAATATCTCTCTATAGTTCCAAGTACTTGGGGTTAAGTCTTGATCTACCATGTTAAAGTATATAGATTAGTCCCTCTAAGATGGTGGGTAGGAAGTAACTGGAGGTAAATCATAAGTTATCGATTTATCTAAACTCAATAACTTTGGATCAAATACAGCAGAATATATCAAAAAATTTCACTAAAAAAATAAAAATTGTAACATATTTCGTTGTCCCTTACACTAAACAAGATGTGGTATACTGGTATTATTCCAAACTCGAAAACATACAAATTTTGAATCTGCATCCATTCAAGTAGATTCCTTCGTCCTCTACTACAAATGTTAACCTCCGCATTCGATCAATTTAGTTCAAAAATCAGTTCGGTCGATTAGTGCCAACCCCTACTACATATACCTAGACATGGTACAAGAATCTATATTATTTTCACAAGGATAAAAATCTTGAAATGTTGATTGTTTTTTTTATACTTCTTAATTGGGAGCTTGGTTTGATTGAATTTGCAGTGCACATAAGCATAAAAGACTTTATATTTAAATTACAAAATCCCTTAAAATTTATGGATTTTGAATACATCACTGGACTTCCGGATACATAGATGAGGAATGTCCGACAGGGGAGGGATGTTCAGATAAGGAATAGAACATCTGAATGACTTTCGGATATATCAGCACACATCTTGATATATAGGTGAAAGAATGTATTAGAGGAGATGAATATATCCGATAGGGGGTTTTGAAAAAAATTTAAACGATAGGAAATTTTAGAAATTATGATATTATTAGATGTGTAATTAGATAATTTTTTCCAAAAAAAAATATAGAGAGATTACATGTTGATAGATTTAAAAAAAAATCCTAAAATATATGAGAAAAGAAAAAAGGTTGGCCGTGACCTAGTTGACTAATAATTGATTGATCTCTATAACTGAATCCATGTTGTTGATTAATTGTTGATTGATCTCTATATCTAAATTTGTATAGCTTGATTCTTTGTTGATTGATCTCTGTAACAGACTTCAAATTCAAACTAAATTGGCTAATAAAAGCATTCTCTACCGGTTGAAATTCTAATTTATTTGTATTATATTACTCTATTTCAATTTTTTCGTCTTACTTTCTTTTTTAATCTGCTTCAAAAATAATCTCTTTATTTTTTAGTTAACTCTTTAATTCTAAACTACTATCAAACATATATATAGAACTATAAAATCAATGAGCATTTTAATATCCTTTTAACTTAAAAGACCAACATTGTTCACTTAATATTTGGTGCATGGTCGTTGGACTTCCCTATCAAGAGTTCGAGAAAGTGTAGTATCACAATCTTTCTGACTTTTTTTTTCAAGAGTTTCACATGTACCTTATAATTTTTATAATAATTCTCTGAACTCAATTATGACGCATAATTAAAATTTTGAGATTTATATTTGTTTGGACCGTAAAAATAAATCAAGTGAGACGCAATAAGCAATAACACATTTGAGATTTAATATTTATTTATATCATTTAAATAGATATAACATATATCTTAACCTCAATTGATATTTTTTGATGTTATTCTTATATATGCATATGTTTCACCCATAATCTAGTTCTTATCGACAATTGTGCAAGTGATATTTAAGTTTATGTAATAATTATGTTTTGCTATATTAGGCTCCATGTTCGCTAATTAATATTGTTGTTTGGTGAAATGAGGTGAATATTCTTTTTCTCTATTTTTCCAAGCTTTTGGGATCAAGTATTGAATGATGAATCGACCACATGAAAGTTTTTAGACTAGTCCCGACGAAGTGAATACGTAACTAATTCGTCCAAACTCAATAACTTCGGGTAAATATGTTGAGAAATTCACTAAACAAATAGAAATTAACATATTTCCTGGATTTGCTTCTATAATATTAGATGACGTTGTCCGCTAATAAACATTTTCTATGTAGCGTACATGACTGGTTTTGTTAACCTGGGCATTCAGTCAGTTCGGTTCAATTCGACTTCTCAATTTTGGCCATTTTAAATACAGGCTTTTAGATAGTGGTTTGTAGTATTGTTCAGTTGCCATTTAATTTCTGATTGTAAACATCCTCATTAAGCAATTAAGATTATATTTAATTTGGTTTCAGTTCTATCTTGTGGAGTTTCATATTTCTGGGTTTTTGTTTTATACGGATAAGTGCCCACCCCTACATATAAGAGTACAAGAATCAATTAAAAACAGCCTAACTGTGTGCTTAAACAGGTAGCTAGTTATTGCTTAGCCTATTATATACTATGATTATTATACATAGTATTAAAAGAAAACGACTTCCATACTGAATTCTTAACCCCACATGGTTACAAATTACTAGAGAGTAGAGATACGTTGGTCCCAAACTTCATTTAACGAAAAAATTATTCAAATCAAAGAAGCAAGAGTTGACAAGAGGGAACTTTTTTTAAAAAAAAAATGAGAGTTAGGATGAGAACGAGTCATTAATAGCTGAAACTTCAGACTCCAAAGAGAAACATAAATGAGTTGGTTCCCTTGAACTGTTTGTAATAGTTAGATATATTTTGACATATTATCTTATTAAAGCCCTAGCTGACAAAGATGACTACAACCTCCTTAAATACCCCATACCTTTTGCATGAAAAAGAAATAAACCATCATTTAGTCTTTGTATTTCTTAAGGGTATTGTATGGCTTCTGTAAATTTGAATATGGAGTTACAGGAAGTAGAATTGAATAATGCTGAGAAAGGACAAATGGGATCAAAAAGTCGAGGCGTTTTCTTGACCTGGAATGACTTATGGGTTACTGTTAGCACTAAAAAAGGTGGAAGCAAGTCCATACTTAAAGGTCTCACTGGCTATGCTCGACCTAGTGAGCTCTTGGCTGTTATGGGTCCTTCTGGCTGTGGCAAATCTACATTTCTCGATTCCTTAGCTGGTAAATATTAGTATATTACTACTATTACTATATCTCTAAGAAAATGGTGCATATAATATCTTCACTGGGGACAAAATAACAGCTATAATGCTAATTGTTTTTACAAAATATGACTAACCTGATGAACACCTCTCAGGGAGACTGGATTTCAGCACGAGGCAGAGCGGGGAAATTCTGATCAATGGTCACAAACAGAAACTTTCGTATGGAACATCTGTAAGAAATTAAAATCTTCAGCTGAATGCCGCATGCGCTACTCATTTTGTTTTCCTTTTTTCACAATAAGATTACTATATTTTTTTTATTAGCATGCATGGTAATGTTCTTTATCCTATAAAATCAGGCATATGTGACTCAAGATGAAACTCTGTTAGCAACACTAACAGTTCAAGAAGCAGTTTACTACTCTGCACAACTCCAACTCCCAGTTTTCCATGACAAAATCAGAGAAAAAACAAATAGCAGAGCAGACTATTAAGGAGATGGGGTTGCAAGATGCAATGAACACAAGAATTGGAGGATTTGGTAATAAAGGAATTAGTGGAGGAGAAAAGAGAAGACTTAGTGTTTGCATGGAGATTCTAACGCGGCCAAAACTTCTTTTCCTTGATGAACCAACCAGCGGCCTCGACAGTGCTGCATCTTATTACGTGATGAGCGGAATTTCACGTCAAAGAGAGGGAAGAACCATTATTGCATCTATCCATCAGCCAAGTGCTGAAGTTTTCAACCTTTTCCACAGTTTATGCCTTCTGTCTTCAGGAAGAACCGTATATTTCGGACCTTGCTAGTGCAGCAATTGAGGTATGTATATATATTCATTATTCAACTATTGACTTGCCAAGTAATAGAATGGACATATAATACAAGTGACATATGTAATGATTTGATAAGTTTCTATGTTTTTTCATTATGATAGTTTTTCACAAGGAACGGTTTCCCTTGCCCATATCTTCAGAATCCATCAGATCATTTTCTTAAAACAATAAACAAGGACTTTGATGAGGTAAATATTATTTTTTCCTCTTTCTAAGAGAAACCAATTAATGTTACCCTTTTATTAAATTATATCTTGGTTCTATTTAAAGGATATTGAACAAGGCTCAGCTGGAGAAAGGAGACCTACAGAAGAAGTTATAGACCTTCTCATAAATTCATATAAATCATCAGAGGGATATCATGAAGTTCAGAGCCATGTTGCAGAAATATGTCATCAGGTAATTAAGAAAGAGTTAACTCCCAAAATGGAAAGGAGATGAGAAAGGAGTCTCTCTAATTGCATCCATTAAATATTTTCAGGGTGGTGAAATGTTGGAAAAAAGAAGCCATGCTAACTTCAAGACGCAATGCCTTGTTCTTACTAGGCGGTCAACTGTGAACATGTTTCGTGATCCTGGCTACTATTGGATGAGATTCGTTGTTTATGTCGCCATTGCTTTAAGTCTTGGCTCCATCTACTATAATGTTGGCTCAAACTATCGGTCAATTGAGGTATAGATAGACAGAACACAGATAACGAAACACCAATTAAATTTTACAACTTAATCTCTAAGTACTTTTCAGTTCTTCTTGACGTGCACATGATTTATGAATCATAACACGGCCTTGGATATTGCAGGAAAGAGGTCTAATGGTTGCTTTCGTAGTTTCATTTATGACATTTATGACGGTCGGTGGATTCCCTTCATTTGTGGAGGAAATGAAGGTAGTGTCATTTTCTCATTTAAATTAAAACAATTAACGAGTTATATGATTTATTTTGTACTATCGTGAGTACTTAATTAACTGCTTGGACAAAAATACTGCAGGTATTTCAACGAGAAAATGTGAACGGGCACTACGGATGTTTGGCTTTTGTCATAGGCAACACACTTTCTTCTATACCGTACGTGTTACTAATATCATTGGTTCCAGGTGCCATTGCCTATTTCCTTGCTGGATTTCGAAATGGATTTGAGCACTTCATCTACTTTGCTTTGGTCCTCTTCATCAGTATGATGGTAGTGGAGAGCCTAATGATGAATGTCGCAGCTATTGTACCGAACTTCTTAATGGGCATTGTAACGGGGGCAGGAATACAAGGACTACAAATACTAAGTGGTGGTTATTTTCAATTACCGAGTGAGTTGCCTAAAATACTTTGGAAATACCCACTATACTACATGTCCTTCCACAAGTATGCTTACCAAGGTATGTTCAAGAATGAATTTGTAGGACTAAAGTTTAGAGATGATATGTTTGGAAACAATCATATAATGAGTGGAGAAGTCGTCTTGAGAGAAAGATGGCAAGCAGAAATGGGATACTCAAAGTGGATAGACCTAGTCATTCTGGTCGGTATACTAATTTTGTATCGATTGGTGTTTTTCCTTATAATCAAGACAAAAGAAAAAATTGTGCATGCAAGAAAGACATCCACGGCAATTCTATCAAACCGAAGTACACAAATCATGGCTAAGTCCCTACCTGCCTCACCTCTCCATGGACTCACTCCACCTCATGACACTCCCACCAACAATAGATGAACTAATAGTTAGTTCTTCTGTTCTCTACAAGATTTGACACTATATTTGGCTTCTTATTTCTATAATGTATCAATTTGTACTGTATTGTATTTTACCAACTGTTTTGTGGATGTAATGTTTAAATAGACTATAGCGTTTGATGTAACACTTTTTCCTTTTTGGCCTATAAAAGAGATGGCACTTTACCTTTAACTTGTCATTTTACGATTGATGGAGATAATTTATAGCCACAGAAATTTCTTAGGATTGTTACACTGCAAGTTTCAACAGCTTCTCTTCCATAAATCCGTGTCTAGTTCAACATTGCCACATAAACTGGAACCAAGAGAATGGAGTAGTATTTTTTAGATTTACAACTAAATTTCTCTGTTCCTTGAGAAAATTGGAAGATGAGAAAACAATACTATAGGTCAAATATTTGATTTGGCTAATACCATATTCTGTCAAATAAAAGCAATTTTCACAAGTATTATAGGTTTATACAGAGAAGCATATGATAATTTCATCATTCTAGATTGCTAGAGGTAAGCCAAAACCTAATTAAAGAGGGAACAACAGAAATTGTACCTGATTATCGGATCAATCGAAATCAGACTGGCGAACCATAGCTTAGAAGTAGAAGATAGGTCAACACTTTCCTCTAACTCTCGAAGAATGAGACGAAACCTGAGCCCTAATTCCATGATCGAATTCAGAAGAGAACTCCATAACAAGAGTAGCGTAACGAAAAAGCGCAGAAATCTGAGGACATGGATGAAAAAGATTAAATTTCACCCCTTGCTAAACGAAAATAGCAAATTGTTTATATTTTTTGTTTGTTTAGCGCAATTCAATTTGAACTTACAAATTATTAATATTTGAATTGATAGTACGTCTTCCTTAAATATTTTAAATTGATTTAAACCCCTCATATGACTCTTTGATATTCATTTTGATATTTTTTTTTTGCATTCAGCAAAAATATGATGTTGAGCGTATTTTACTAGCGGCCTAAATTTTCAAATTAAAAAAAATCAACTTGAATTTTAGAAAAATATTTATTTCTTAAGCACTTAGTATGTAAATGAATTAATAATATACATATATCGCTCTTTAAATATTATTAGTTTATTGTTAGTCGGGAACTTAAGATATTTTATCTTAATTTTAGCTTGAAAATTCTAAAATTCAGCTCTTTTTTTAAATCTAAACTTTATTGATTTATTTATTTCAATTCACTTATATAGCACCTCTTTTCAATTTCGCTTGTGTGTCTAGTCCATTATTTATAGCACTTCTCTACTCTCCTATTTAATTTCACATATGTAATTTTCCTTTGCTTTGGGTAAATTGAGCATCAATACGTGTACTTTAATTCCCAATTTGGGTTTCTTTTGAATGGTTTCAGCGGCTATATATGAACCCATGTTCTGATGAAGACACCTTTAATCTTAAAAAAAATATTTCTATACCTTTTCTTTTTGAATGAGGAGAAATGCATGAAAATGAGAAGTAACATGTGTATCTGTCTACAAAGCAATAAAATAATTTTAAAAAAATGGAAGTGACATTGATCAAATTGCATTATCACTTGCTATTTTCTTTAATTTTTCAATCAGATATCGAGATATTACATCAATTTGACATTATTATTTTTTTTTGGTGCGACAACTTCTGTTAGTTCAGTGCATCTACAAGTAATAAAGGTCAAATAGGTCAATTTGTTAATCTCCACAACCAACTCCACAAGACTCTTGAAAAGAAATAGAGACCTTTTAAGTCTTTGAGAAGGTAAATGTTATTTTTGGGTGTGTCAAAACAGGAAAGTCATATTTGTTGCTTCAGAAATATCACAGCTTTTGTTTATTTAGTTTTGGTGTCTCAAAACAGTCGGATGACATTAATAACGTTATGAATGGTTGTAAAATACATCTAATGTTATGCATTTTAATTTATTTTTTAAGTGATGATTTTGTATGAAGTGATATACGTTTTGTTTCAGATGATGGAAGAAAAATAGTATCTGGCGTGGCACGACAATTGAAGGAGTCGCATACTTCTGTTGTGTAGCACTACGACATCTATTTGGTATTGTTTGATGCATTTCTTATCCTCTTTCAGTTGGTTCTCTCTTTTTGATCAGATGTCTAATTTAATTATGTCTTCAAACCTTGCTTAATTTATATGTGCCGCATATAGTTGCAATTTTATATGCGAGTAGATTTTTGAAGTCCAATTATGATTCATATATAATTTAGCAGCTTATGATGCTTCATTTTAATAATATTATCGATCATATCTTACAGTTTCATAAAAGATATTATTATTGTTTGAGTATTAAACTAAAGATATTTTTTAGATGTTAATGGAACTCTTTTAACTTCCTTGCAGACCAACTATACAAGGAAATGACAAGGTATTAAGAATGTATCTAGTGCTATTTCAATCAAGTTAGTTTTATTTTTTCTGATAATTATTTTTATGTGTAATATATGAAATATGATAGAGAGATTTTATATAGATTCTCTTTTTATTTGTAAACATCCTGTTATGTGCAGTCATTTTTTAGTTTACTCTATCTATTGTCATGTCATAGAAGATGAGAAGTCACCAATTTTTTGATAGTTCGCCGTGACAAAGTCAATAACTATTTAAGTCACAGCGTGACAAAGTACAAATACTTTTATTGCAATTTTGCTAAGAGATGAACTTGAGCAAATTATGTACCTTTATAAAGTGTTTGTACTTTACATAAGAAAATGCTTATAAGTCAATAACTATTTAACTTTCTTTTGTTTTAACCATCTTGATATAAATATGCAGTTTCGCAAATTGTGAAATCGATAGACTTAACAGTAACATGTTCTGACTAGTTATGATGTGTACTTTTTTTAATAAATTGCAGGAACAAATGTTAGCGGAAATGTGAAATTAAAAACAAAAAAGAATAACAATATTTAACATGGTTTGGATCAAAATGATCCTTCGTCCATCAAAAAACAATTGCACCAATATTTATTTCACTCAACAAAGAATACAAGTGAAATACTACAAAAGAGAGAACACAAATGTCTTAGTAGGTGAGAAGGCAAGTGAGAGGATGATTTGAAAATGAATTAAGAACTATCTATTTATAGGAATGAATTCATCCTATTGATGTCATCCATGACATCGATATATGTCAAAAATGTCAAGGTTAAAAATATAAAACCATTTTATGGTTTGCCTAAACTTCACCTACCAAGATACTATCTTGACTTTTATTTTGTACTATCTTACTACCAAATATTCATGTTAATTTATCTTCCATTTAGTTTAATTCCACAAGAACCAAACCAACTCTTTCAACAACAAATAGTAATGTGTGCGTAAAAAAAAAGTAGATAATGTACAAGGAGTTGCAAGAGTTAGAGGTCAGAATGATCGACTCTACAATCAGGAATCATTTAGTCGTCGATGTTCTCCATGACACACCGGATAGTCCAAAGATTGTGAGACTGCTAGAATATGAATAATAGGTTGTAAATGCACAATGTTTCTAATAAATTTGAGCATTCTTCGTTTCTTTTTTACTTTTTGATTATTTTGTTTGGGTGCAAGTTGTTTGAGCTGTGTCTATCATTTTAATTTTCTACTTTATCGATGATTCGATGGAGTTCGCTTCTTTCTTAATTTTTGATTATTTTGTTTGGGTGCAAGTTGTTAGAGTTGTTTTTAAAATTTGTGTTTTTAATTTTTTACTTTATCAATAATTTTCAACTTTATCGATGATTCCTTAAAAATTTTTAATTTTTGATTTTTGATTTTTATAATTCAATAATTTTTAACAATACTTTATTATTTATGGAGAATAGACCTACTATATTGGGCTCGTGCCCGTGCAGGCCATTCCCCTCTAGTTATAATATACATATATCACCCTTTAAATATTATTAAATTACAGCTCTTCTTTCAAATCTAAACATTATTTTTTTTTGTGTTCATTTCAATTCACTTATATATCACCTCTTTTCAATTTCACATGTCTAGTCCATTTAATTCATGATACCTTAATTTAATTTATTCATTATCAACTTGTAATTATTTTATTTATTTATTCAGTTTTACTCATAAGCTAAGATATTATTTTATTTCACTCATGTACCTCAATTATTTCATTCACTATATTCAATTTATATATTTTCTAACTATTTATTATTTTATTTATGTATTTCATTTTACTCATGGTGCCTTGTTCATTTTATTTATTGGATCTCTCGTTTAATTTATCAAATTTCAATCGATATTGGTTTATTAATCCATTTTAGTTCACTCATAATAGCTTATCCATTTCATCCAATATCTCTAAAGTTACAATACAAATTAGTCAAATAATTGAAATACTATACATGAAACCTTTGTTAATTTACATGAAATAAAGGGTAGAGTTTGTGCGAAGTTCGCATACAGGTTTTTCTTTAACAAATTCGAATCCCTTATTTATATTAATAAGAATCCTAATATTCAAATCATTAAATTACTATGAATAAGAAAAGAAATAAAAAATGTTTACTCTAAAAATATAGAAAGTAAAATCACTATACTTTTTACTGAATAATTGGCATAAACCTATTTTTCATGGAATATGCTTTGAGAAAATTTCAGAAATAACAAATACAACAAACATAATAAATAGTTTTATTTGTGATGGAGATTGTGGTTTGTATATTTTTTTTTTATTTGTATATTTTGCTTGCGAATATACAAATAATGTAAGTTATACAAATTCTATATATTTAGGATTTTTCAGAACCTCGTTTGTATATTTCGCTTGCCAACATCCAACGGGGTAATTTATTATGATTTTTTCATAAATCCTATACAAATAGCTAGGATAAGTATATACAAATTCTGAATTTATACAATCATGAATCGAATTATATAAATTAGACAAATTATACAAATGAAAGGCAAGAATTAAAAAACATGTAACCGTAAATTATATATATATCTTTTAGAATTATAATTCTAAATATTTGATATTCTGCATAATTTTGAATCAGGCATGTATTATTGTACTACCTATTTGTGCGCAAAAGTTAGAACATTGCACTTAAATGGCTATGTCCAAATAGACGGCACGATGAATTTTGTTTTACCAAAGAAAGTATAGATATATATATAAAATTTAGCATGTTCCATTTTGAAAAATAATTTAACTAAATTATACATTAAATTTACTTTTTGATTATTTTTTTAAAAAAAATATCTAACCTATATATTCAGATTATTGCCTTTTTGAAAAGTATACTGATATATTTTGTTTTCAAAAAAAAGAAAAAAATACTGACATATTTTTTTTTTCAAAAAAAAGAAAAAAACTTTCCTTCTATTGATAGTTTTTCTTCTCTTAAAAATCTATTATTTTTGTTACCAGAAAGAGTGTGTTCCTCCTAATTGTTAGTACTTGAAATTTGAAAAGTTGGTTAAATATTCCAAATTCAATAAAAATATCTTAAAGAATAATATCCTTTAACACGTCTCAAATTCTAAGTTTAGCTATTGTTTCAGTATTTGTTTTTCCTAGTAAATTTTTGTTATCTTTGCCTATATTTGTTGTATTTATTACATAATTAATACAATTTATTTGAACTGTATTTATTTACCTAAAGAATATAATGTGTATCTTAGTATTCATTTGGGCAACAAATACAATTAAGACAAAATTAAAAATACAAGAATGGCCACCACTGCACAAGTGGATTTGACTAATCGTAAAAAAAGAAGAGATTTTGAAATACTACAAATTTTTTTGTCAAAGTCTAAGCTAGCGTTTGGCTATAGATATTCAAATATTTTTGGCAAATATTATTTGAATGAAAATTTGGGTGAAATTTTACCATGTGTTTGGC